AGACCGTGTGAGAGAGAGAGAGAAGACTGTGAGAGAGGGAGAAGACTGTGTGTGAGAGAGAGAGAAGGCTGTGTGAGAGAGAGAGATGACTGTGTGTGAGGGAGAGAGAAGACTGTGAGAGAGAGAGAAGACTGCGTGAGAGGGAGAGAGAAGACTGTGAGAGAGAGAGAAGACTGTGAGAGAGAGAGATAGAGAAGACCGTGAGTGAGTGAGAGAGAGAGGAGACTGTGCGTGAGAGTGAGAGAGGGAGAGAGGAGACTGTGTGTGAGAGTGAGAGAGAGAGAGAGAGTTTCAGGGGCAAGGGGGGAGTGAGTCCATGCCGGCGGAGGTTTGTCACCGTTCGTGTGAACCGTTCATCGGACTTGGGAAAAAGGGCGAAATGGAACGCCTGGTATATTCGATGCAGATGAGGCGGGACATGGCGCAATGGAAAGGGAGTGCCACACCCGTTCCTTAACGGAAACAGGCAAGGAAGGAGTCAAAATAGGGGTTCTTGACMAGGGCRAATCTGATAACGGGGTTAGATTTGGAGATAAGTGAACGGTTTCAGAGSCACAGGARCRAAAAGGTGCGCGGCATGCAGCGGGAGACAGCGGGAGTAAATACGGTTTACATGAGTTAGCTAAATGCCTCGTCATCTAATTAGTTGCACACGTGTGCGCGCGCGAATGGAATCGCGATGACACTCTGATGGTCCCAATAAATGTGGACGCAATGTGGATTATCGTCAGCCTTTGATGCCAAAATGAAGAGATACAATCAGCGGCGGGCGCGACGATGTACCTTCACATGAACTGCTGAAAGATTCGTTCTTTCTTTCCTTGTTTGGCTGAGCCTGCCGCTTGCTGCACGTGGGAAATAAGTAACGTGGCGGTGTACCTCTCCAAGATTTAGCTGAGGATACACTGGCATTTTCACTACCGTATCTAGTGGAGACTACAAGAAATTAAGGATACGACGATGCATTTTCTCAAGCTCCAGATGCAAATACATTCTGACTTCCCAAACTCGGGTGAGGCCCACCATGCATACGTAGAACATGACAATGCATCTTCCTATGATCCCGCTAGAGATTCATTTCGATGGACTTGTTATAGACCCCCCCTGGTYTAGTCGTTTCGTGTGCGAACGGGCAAGTCTGTCATGTCGCAAAAAGAGAGGAACACGGCCGAGTGTGCCTCTGTGATCAGGCTAGTTCATTTCTGTTATCTRATGATCAATCCGACGTGTGCCGACACGCGAATGAGTGAGGAATGCGTAGAGGACTCGCTCTTGCTCTTTTCGTTTGATGAACAGGGTAGCAGGGTCACGAGATTGAGAGGGCATGGTAGTGCATGTGCTCATGTCCTTGAAGGAGTCGCCGCGCTCTGCAAACGGGGTGCAGTAATGTATCTTCTCAAGTTCTAGCTGAAAATCCTTTTCACCTTCTCATTGGTGTGTAGTTAAGCGGGATTTGCAGCGAAAGCAGTCTGTGTGCTGATACGTCACGTATACACACACACAGATCAAACCTCTGTAATTTAGATTCGAGATTTAATAACCYTTCAATTTTGTTATGGAAGAAAAAAAAAGTTTTGCGTCTGTCATCGAGTTTTCACAAATTCCAAGAATGCCCTTTCACCTGGCACGCGCTCAATAGGACTTCGTCTAGTGGCTTGTTGGTTGTCGGTTGGTTGATGTGTTCGGACGTGACGGTGGTTGACTGAGAGAGAGAGAGAAAGAGAGAGAGAGCAGGCACACGCAGAGGGAGAAGGACAGGGACTGAGAGAGAGAGAGAAAAAGAGAGAGAGCAGGCACACGCAGAGGGAGAAGGACAGGGACTGAGAGAGAGAGAGAAAGAGAGAGAGAGCAGGCACAC